TAACATGAGAGCTTCGAAACCCTTAGATAAGATTGGTACTACTGTATCGAGATTGGGCGATAGTTTTGACATAGATTCTTATCACCTTTTTTATAAATTGGAGTTACTTTTGAGACTTTAAGTTGGTCAGGAAAATAGCCATTATAAAAAATTGGCCAAAATAGCCAAGGAGGTGGTTAATAAAGCTAAACTTAATTACAATGCTGAATACATAGAATCGTCTGACAACAAGTCAAAGGCTGCTTGGACACTTGTAAATAATATTAGGAGCTAGAGCGTCAAGTCACCAGAGATCCAGATTCCCCCAGAGGAGTTTGACTCGTACTACCTTTCAGCTGTTCAGGAGGCCAGAGACAGCATCATTCAACCCCAGACTACTGCGCTTGACTTAATGGAAAATTCACCTTTGCCTGAAGAAAACTTCAAATGGGAGGAAGTGTCATGTGCAAATGTGTTCAGTGTTGTGAAAAAAATCTAAAAGTAAAGATATCTTTGATCTTTCTAATAATCTAGTCAAATGTGTAATCGAGTCCATTTTGCTTCCTCTAACCTTTTGTATCAATTTGTGTCTTAAACAGGGTATTTTTCTCTCTAAGCTTAAAATATCAGGAGTACCCTGTATAAAAAAAGTGGTGAAAAATCTGTGCCAAAGAGTTACCGACCGATTTCTATAGTACCAGTATGTGTTAGGCAAGGTTGTTGAACAAGTTGAAAAACTCCAGGTATGTACCTACGGCTGAGCCTAATTAGTGCTTCACAATTTGGCTATCAGGTGGGCAAGAGCACTACAAGTGGAATTCTATCAATTGTTGATGATTTAATCAGTACTTTTGAGGATCGAAGCCTTGCTCAGATCACTGCCTGATGCGACCTGAGCAAGGCATTTGATTGTGTCGACCATTTAATTCTTTTTCAAAAACTACAGTGTCTGGGTTTTCATGGCGTTCAGCTTGATTTCTTTATGTCGTACCTGAAAGGTAGATTCCAAATTATAGACGTTGCTGGTAAAAAGTCATCTGCTTCTCCTGTCAAATTTGGTGTACCACAAGGTTCTGTGTTAGGGCCTATTTTATTCCTTGTCATGGTAAATGATCTGCCGCCTACTATTAAGTCATCGAAAACCATCATGTTTGCTGACGACACATCTTTCCTTACAGTAAGTAAAGATTTACCAACTGTGAATGGTATTGCTGATGAAACTCTGAATCAGGCTGTTACATGGTTCAGAGCTAATGGTTTTAAACTTAATGAATCAAAAACACAAAAGGCAATATACTCCTTAAATAGTAGACTTGCTTATTCAGATAAGTGAATAAAGTTACTAGGGGTGCAAATAGATTGTGACTTAACTTGGAATAGCCAAATAGATTTAGTTTGCAGTAAATTGTCAAAAGTTGTATATTTGTTAAAAACTTTTTTTTTAAAGAGGTTGGCGGCCTCTTTTAACCTTGCATTTGCCCGTCCACAGACTACAGATCTGTGCGTGGAACGTATCCAGCAAAGCAAGGGGTGAGCCGGTACAGTACAAAGGTGAACTGTACTGATAAAAGTTTGTGGCAGTGACCAGGATCCGAACCCACGACACTTCTGCCTTGGGTCCGTGACGCGTGGGGTGTCATAGCTTATAATGTCATAGCTCATAATCGTGAATTTGTTCCATAGCTTATAATGTTGAAAATGTGGCATAGCTTATAATCAGTTATAAGCTATGCCACACTTTCACGAAAAATTATAAGCTATGCCACAATTTCTCTAAAACGTTATAAGGTATGAAACATTTTCAGTGTCACAACTTATAATGGTCAAATAGTGGCACAGCTTATAATTCCGAATCTGTTCTATAGCTTATAATCCTGATTTTGAGTCATACCTTATTATTCTGATTTTGGGGCATCTTACTAATATTATAAATGTGAAAGTTTGTGTGTTTGTTTGTTTGTTTGAAGTTCAATCACGCATAAACCACTGGACGGATTGGGCTGAAATTTGGCATGATGATAGCTTACATTCCCGATTAACATATAGGCATATTCTTATCTCAAAAATCCTTTCGGGCTCCGCCCCAGTGGCTCTGTAATTCCCCATGTTAACCTTATGAGTATTCATATTTAAAGGGAATTAAAGAATTTAGTCAGCTGTTTCAACTAAAAATGTTGGTTCTATGATATGGAAAAGCATTAAAAAGTTATAAGATTAACCAACAGGGTGTAGCACTATATTTTTTTTGCATTTATGAAAACAGCTAATTTGAACTAAGCAGCAACAAAAAACTGTGATTCGCAATGAGAACTGTCAAAGTAGGATTGTTTACAGTTATGTATATGTTTTTCATTTCATGAATAATTTGTGATATTTTGCGAATTGATCATTTATTTTTCTCTATTGTTTAGGTAAAATGGTAGAACATTATGGCTATGGTAGATGTGTAATACTATAGAATACTGTAAATTTAAAAAAGCAAATTTTATCAAACTGTGTCCTCCACCCATTGCAATCGCAAAGCTTGAGTATAACTACTGTACTGCAATAAGCATTTTATACTTAAAGCCTGGTTTACACGGGTCGAGTATTTCAGACGAGTTATTCGGCCCAGTTACTATAGGCCCAGTTGTTGATTTGTTCAACTCTCCCGGTACTTTACTAGACTGTCTACACGCATTCCTATTTCGAACCGCGACAGTGTAGGCACAGAGAAGTAATTTTTATAATTTCTCTATGTTCTGTGGTGTAGAGTATTCCGTATACCGTAGCTTTCGTGTACTCAAACATGTTTGAGTTTAAAATGGGACTTCAAGAGTTTAATTCTGAATTTATGAATTAATTAAATCACTGAATTAGATTATCAGAATTAAAACTGAATCACCCATTAAATTCAGGTGCTGCTTAATTTTTTTTTTTTGCAAATACGATAGACCAAAGTGGAAGGTGATATTCTAAAAGAATAAGATTTGTTACAAATTACCATACCGGTACTGCATTTCCTTAAAATAAAATATATAGGCAACCAAATTACCAAAAAGTTGCCTCCAAATAAAAAAAATGTGAAAACACCGTTTTCAATGTATTTTTGATAGAAAACATTTTTAGGGAGTGAGCTTTCAAACAACTCATTGATTAATAAAATCGTTCCAGTAGAACTGTAGAACTTAAGTTGTACAACAGTTAGTTTTTAAAATCTGAATTTTATAAAGCCCCCCACACACTACCAGACCAGACCGTCTGGCTGCAACCAGACCGTCTTGGACGGCTCTACACACTCCCAGACCAGACGGTCCTAATTCGTAATTGAGAGACCGTGGTGAGAACTCCAACAAATGGATGAAGATTGTCACGATGGTCGGCCGTCTGACAGACAGCGCTACACACTCACAGACCAGACAAAAATAGTGGTGGGGGAACCTCAGACCGTCTGTGGTCTGAGGGTTCAACCATCAGACACGCAGACAGTCTGGTCCAAGAAAATCGGTCTGCAGACAGCCCACACACGATAAGACAAGTGCCAGACGCCAGACCAGATGGTCTGGTCTGGAGGTCTGGTCTGGTAGTGTGTGGGGGGCTTTAAGCTCGACTCGCCTGCATGTCTACACCAAGCGAGTTAAAGAGCGAGTGGCAACTCGCACACTGACTCGCCCGCCGTACTCGACCCGTGTAAACCAGGCTTAAATTCCAACCACGTACGAAGGACGGGTACTCTGCTAGTAGCTTATAATTGAGGAGAATGTTGCATTGTGGGAATGGCATCAGCTGCTCGCTTCAGTCAGGTCTACCATATATACGATATTTTATGGTAGGATACGATAATTATTGTAATCAAACGGGCAAAGCGAAAGTAAAAGAAAAACAAAATATCAGGAACAGGAACAGACATAGTACTCCTTTGAGTTTGAGGTTGAGTTAAGTTGTTGGCGTTGTTTGGTAATGGGTTTAGGCTAGTCATTAAAATTAAAATTTTGTCATTTGTACTTTAATAAACTACAAGGCTTTAAGGTAGGTGTATGGCTCTGGGGAGTGGGATTTTTTAAGCGAGATTTATCCCTATTCGGGGAAATTTTTTCAAACTTTTGATCCCTTTCAGGGATTTTCTCCAGTTTGTACCTACAGCTGTATAAACAGTATAGGTTTACTCCCCAGAGCCATACACCTACCAACTTCTTAATTTTCAAGATTATCTCGTTCGCATGGCTCAATCAGGTCCTGGTTGAAGTTTGTTCGCTACGCTCACTCACCTTTAGGTTGGAGCTCGTTCGCTACGCTCACTCACCTTTAGGTTGGAGCTGTATATATGGTAGACCTGACTGAAGCGAGCAGCTGATGCCATTCCCACAATGCAACATTCTCCTCAATTATAAGCTATGCCCCAAAATCAGAATTATAAGGTATGACTCAAAATCAGGATTATAAGCTATAGAACAGATTCGGAATTATAAGCTGTGCCACTATTTGACCATTATAAGTTGTGACACTAAAAATGTTTCATACCTTATAACGTTTTAGAGAAATTGTGGCATAGCTTATAATTTTTCGTGAAAGTGTGGCATAGCTTATAACTGATTATAAGCTATGCCACATTTTCAACATTATAAGCTATGGAACAAATTCACGATTATAAGCTATGACATTATAAGCTATGACACCCCACGCCACTTGTGGAGATGCCAATTCTACCAGGCCGCGGCCTGTAGTTAAAGGTGGCCGTGGCCCGTGAGTGCATGGTGGAAGGAAAATACTGGTGTAGTGTTTGTGTTGAGGTTGAGAAATATTCACATAATATCAGTTACCTACTATGATTACAACGTGCAAAACTAAAAATAATATGGTTTTATGGCGATTTTGAGATTTATAATAAAAAAATATATAAGTCTATTAGGTATTTCAATACTCAAGCCAGTTACGATTGTTATTTAAAATTGTACGATAATTTTTCGTGAAATACGATAATTTAGGACCGCGTGTACGATATTTGACTACGGCCAATCTGGGTACACTGCTTTGAGGTTTCCTGGTTTCGGTCTGGTTTACGTTACGTGCGGGCGGCGGAATAGCTTATCTAGGCCTAGTCGTTCTTATTCTATAATTAATTGTTAAAAATAGAAGATTGAAGATTTGTAGTAACGATATTTCCAGAAATTCCTGCATTGAGTTTAATTACTGTGAGTTCTTTGCGAAGGTTAATGAAACAGGACACATCTAGATCAAATATGGGTGGACCTCATGGAATAGAAGAATCGGGAATTGAACCTTCCTCGGACAATGAAGATGAATATGACAACCAGGATGATCCAATGGGCGACGATTACAGAGACGACGAGGATGAAGATTATTTTGACGACTATCGTCCTCCTCCAAATAAAAGAGGCAGAGGTGGTGGAATGTATAGGTTAGTCATTTTTCATCAAGTGCTGTCAGAATAGGCTTATTGATAATTTTCTAGCCTAGGACCTAGTGGGTAGGCCTAGGCTGAGTATAGTTTCTTAACTGGGCTATACTAGCCAAATATCCATTAAAACTACTCATCGATTGGAAATAGGCTATAGGCCTAAGTTAGATTAAACATCGATATTTTGAACTAGGCCCAGGCCTAGGTCTATAATCAATTAAGGTAACTTAGGGCCTTTCCTAATTTAATACCGTACAGTTTCTTAACTGGGCTGGATTTTTTACGCAAAGGATAGGCCTACGCGTCTGGTAACCAAACGTTTACCACCAGGATGTGGGTGCCCAGAACACCATTAACACAACGATACGGTGGAATGCCGTCGGTGTTCGTGGTGTAGTGGATAGAGTAGGCCTTTTTAAATATATCTATTATAAAATTAAACTATCATAACCTAACCTAACCTAACCAACCAAAGTTGCTGATGGTGAAAAATTCACATGAAGGTTTAGGCCTACTAATCGAATTGGGCTGCACTTTACTTGACGTCCTACACTCATTCGATTGTTTTTTCGATTCGATATTTTCATTCGATTGTTTCATTCGATATATCGTTTAGTTAGTTAAGGGGACTGTGACTGCCTATCTTATATAATGTTATCTATATGCTACATATCTAGAGAACTATGACAGGTAGAGCCTTATTTTATTTTTATTTTAAAGGCCATATGTTTATCTAGTTCCTCCTAGAAGATTTAAAAAATATATTTACACCAAGTGTTTTTTTTTAAATTTTCAAAAAATTACAATTTTTTTCCTAGAAATTTAGTACAAAAATTTTTTTTTACGACTCGTGGGTGTGATAAATCAAAATCCTTCTGGGAGGAACTAGTATATTAAGTATTAAATATGTGGTAAAAATTTGGATACTCTAGTCCTACAGATAGCTGAGAAAAGTGACATCAAAGTTATAAAAAGCTAACTTACGGGAATCGCAGAAAACGTAGGCCCATGTGCAAGATAACTAAACAATGTTTTGTTGCTATGAGACCGGGTAAAAACATTTTCTTTTATTTTTTTTACTAACTTCCAGTCAAGCTAGGAAAAAAATAATTATACCGTTGTAATCAGAATATTTTAATTAATAATAAAAGACCAAAAAATAAAAATGTCAATTGTTGATAATTTTTATGGTCACAGTCCCCTTAAGTTAGGTTAACCTTACCTAACTAACCAAACGATATATCGAATGAAGCAATCGATTAATCGATATATCGATCGATATTTTCATTCGAATGAGTGTAGGACGTCAAGTAAAGTGCAGCCTCGAATTGATAGTTTCAATCGATATTAGCATAGCCCAGTTAAGAAACTGTACCCGGCCTACTCGGCTGATTTTTCAAGAGGTGCGACTTTTATCTCAAGAACTTTTTGATATTTAATAGAAGACGTATTCTATAAACCATGTTTGGTAGGCCTATATCTAGGCCTAGTTTTCTTATTTACATTGGCTAATGATCTTCCAAAAGCTATTAATAAAGAACTAATTCTAAAAAAAAAACTTGGATAATTTAATAGGAAAACTTGGATTGGATCCCATCGGTGTCACTAACTTTTTGACAAAGAGTTTGCTCAGAATGCCATTTCTTCTTAACAGTAGCCTACATATCTTTTGTTAGAATTGGAGGCAATTATAATTTTATTTTACACAGAGGATAAAATGTCCGGCAGTGATGTCACGGGGTTTGTGGAGGCCTGAAAGGATTTTTGAGATAATGCGTCTTTATGTGAATCGGGAATGTGAACTATCATCACACAAAATTTCAATCCGACCAGTATTTTTTGCGTTACTTGTCACAAACATCCATACATCCATCCAAACTTTCTCATTTAGGCTAAGTATAATATTAGTAGGATTTACTTCAAGTTGGCTTTTAAAATGATTTTCAAACTGTTCCTTTTTTTTAAAAGGGAAAGAAGTGTTGTACCTTGGACCTATACTCATTTTAGCACTACTTATCTGTTTAAGTAAAGTGAGAACTTGTACCATTAGTTAATGCTTTTGCGGTAATTATTCCGTACAGGTGCCTCCAAACGAATTTTTAATTTTGATATCTTACTTTATAGTTTTTTACCTCCTGAATCCAAATATACCATTAATTTTCACCGCTGATTAATATTTCTCAAGATATCGCCGTAAAAACATACTTAACATTACAATAAACAAGGTAGGATGGATGACATTTACAAGTGGAATGTACTATGGGTTAAGTAAACCAACCAGCTGATTGTTTTCAATCATTTTCAAGCAAATGGAAGTGACAACTTTTATTAGCTAACTCTGATTCTGCAATATGAAAATCACCTGATTAACTTCACTTTCACCACCACTTTCACTTTCTAAGACCAATAAGTTAAAAATGTATTATTGTTACCAGTATTTTATCCTTATTTATTTATTGATTTATATTTTGCCGTTTAGAAATAACATACTAAAATGGTGCTATTCTAACATAACCTAACCTAACCAAACCTCTAGAATGTGTAAGCAAACTCCTTTTGATGTCAGAAAAGGCATGTCAGGTGATAGGTTGTGCTATATGTGAATTGGTGACTGCATTAAGTGTTTTGAAGTTAGGTTAGATTAGGAAGGTAAAGTTTAGGTTATAATGTATCGAGTTGTTAGTTTATGTCGCCTGCAGACTGTTTTTGTAAAATTAACCCTTAGAGTGCCAGGCGAGAAATAAAAGTAACGCTAAAAAAATGCCGATGATTTTTCCCGAAGGTCGCGCTAAAAATGCCGAGCGCAATCTGGCGATTTTTAGGTTAAAATGTCGTAAAAATCGAATTTTCGATATTTCGACCAACGAAAATCGATGTATCGCATCTAGTAACTTTCGACTCAATGTTAATATATGGGTTAAAAGAATCCGAGTATCCATTCGGTTGTTATGACAACTGTTCGATCATTACGAAACGTCCGGTCAGCCGGACGTTGGCACTTTTGGCTCGTTCTAAAAACGTCCGGTCGGCCGGACGTCGGCACTTTTGGCTCGTTTTAAAAACGTCCGGTTCCCCGGATGTTGGCACTCAAAGGGTTAAAATCCTGAGAAAAACACTTCAAATTACTATTTCAAAAATGCAAGCATTTTTGAAATAGTAATTTGAAGTGTTTTTCTCAGGATTTTAATTTTACAAAAACAGTCTGCAGGCGACATAAACTAACAACTCGATACATTATAACCTAAGCTTTACCTTCCTAATCTAACCTAACTTCAAAACACTTAATGCAGTCACCAATTCACATAAAGCACGACCTACCACCCTGACATGCCTAAATAAGAACTACGAGTAATTAGTCCATTATTCCATCTATATCTCCGATTCACTTGATATGTTTCTAAGTACAAAGTTAAAGCACGGCCGCCTGCGGCCGTGGTTAAAGGCGGCCGTGTCTACAACGATGTTATTATCTTTAGTCAACGATGTTATTCTTCTCATCAACCATGTTACTCTCTTCACTTAACTAATCTGAACTTGTGATGGCGACGGCGTAGCAGACCTAAACACTTAGCTAGCACTACGCAACACGTATGAGTAGGTACGAATGAGTATTTTGTTTTGTATTTTATTTGTAGTGAAGTAAAATGTTGTCAATAGGCATATTGCCGGTGACAGAATCAGAGTGAGTTAATGAAGTTCAAAAGTTGTTACTTCCAGTTGTTCTTGTCGTGTGGTTGAAAACAATCAGCTGTAAGTAGGCTTAAGGCTTAACCTACAGTTCATTCCACTTGTAAATGTCATCCATCCTATCTTGTTTATTGTAATGTTAGGTATGTTTTTACGGCGATATCTTGAGAAATATTCATCAGCGGTGAAAGTTAATGGTATATTTGGATTCAGGAGGTAAAAAACTATAAAGTAAGATATCAAAATTAAAAATTCGTTTGGAGGCACCTGTACGGAATAAATACCGCTTTTGCTACCAGAGGTCTGATGTATTCAAGTTGGAATTGTAGCCTATGTGTCCTGTTGACAGGAAAACTAACTAGTTTTTATAAGGTAAAAGTAAGTAGGCCTACCTATATGCAACTTTAATTTTCTTTTATTAAGTTATGTTAGATTTAATGATTGTTTATCTCAGCTTGATTTGTTTGAGCAGTCCACTTCCTAAGTCCAACTCAACCCACGAACACAACACAATGCTATAAACCAACAACTCAGCTACAGTTTCATATGGTCAGGTGTTGTACCTTAGACCTAGTTCATAGGTTGTACTATGGACCATAGTAGCTTAGGCTACTAAAAGCAGACTTTAATATAATTCTGTCAAAAATGTTTATTATGGGCATTTGTAATTTAATCTGCTATAGCCTAAACGAACAGGACAGAGCCCCCAAGACAGATAGACGAATATTTGACGTAGGCCTTAACTAGGCTATAAGTGAACTTGAGCGAATTTCTTACAAAATATGGTTAACCTATTGTAAGGGTAGGTTTTTTTATATTTTATCAAATAAAAACTAGGTAATTATTAATTTTATAACATTTAAATGTGTTTCTACATTTATTTCCTCTACTTTAAAATCAGTGGTCCAAGGTACAACCAGTCAGAGGTACAACATACCGGTGGAGGTATTGTACCTTGCACCTAATGTTAATATTTTTTTAATAATTGAAAATATTTGTTTTGGGTGAAAATAAAGGGGTAAATAAAATATATGTATTGTGTTAAAGAACAATGATTACTTTTTACTAACATAATATTGTGTTTTAAAGTGTCATATCAAAATAAAAAAAAAAACAAAAAGGTAAGTTAGGCTAAAATAGGTCCATGGTACAACACCTTCCCCAACTTATACCTACGTTTGTCATATTTTTTATTTCTTTGACCGTTGATATGAATAAATAAATATAATGTACTGCTGTCTCAAAAATAACCAAAATCATACCGCACGGAGAGCACCACGTCTTGTTTGGTTTGCTGATAGGCCTAGTGAACC